CAGGCATGGTGGTGCATGCCTATAACCTCACCAATGGGGAGGCTGAAGCAGGAAGATCACTGTGAGTTTAAGGCCAGCCTGGGCTACAAAGCGAGACCCTGTCACAAACAAACAAGCAAATAAACAGACATCCATACTTGGATAAAAGACCCAGTCAAAGCACAAAACCAGGGATTCTCATAGTACAGAATAGAAAAAGTTTGTTGATGTGGTCATGTTTAGGGATATGTGGTTGTGCCATATAGTGATGGTACTTTTTTTTTTTTTGAGACAGGGTCTTACTATGCAGTCCAGGCTGGCCTTGAACTCACTATGGAGCCCAGGCTGGTCTCAAACTCAGTGATCCTCCTGCCTCAGCCTCCAAAGTGCTGGGATTACAGGCCTGTGCTGCCATGCCTGGCCTGGTGGTGGTACTTTAACAAGTAAATAAAAATAAATTGTATGGCCAACATTCTATGAATAAACTCCAAAGATGTTTTTATCTATTTATGTGTTTGTTTTGGTTTTTGGTTTTTTTTGAGACAAGGTCTCATTATGTAGTGCAGGCTGGTCTTGAACTCACTATGTAGCCCAGCCTGGCCTTGAACTTGCAGTGATCCTCCTGTCTCAGCCCCCTGAGTGCTGGGATCACAGGCGTGCACCACCATGCTCAACTAACACACCAGTGCTTTTGATTTAGGACATTTGCTCCTTTTTAAAGTCACTATTATTTATAATTAAAATCTTTTTACATTGCATGGCAGTGTCATCCAAACATGCATGTAGTGGCAGGGTCTCTCTTTGTTGGAGCTAAGGAACATATTAAAACCTGCTATGAAGAAGGCCAGAGTAAGTGCTGGGAGATGCTGTGTAGTAGGTAACTGAAAAGAGGGCATTCAGAAATCTTAGTAGAAAGTCAAAAGTAAAAGTAAAAAGCAGTATTTCAGTAAAAATATGTGTGGTCTTTTTTCAAGAACATCCTCTACACTTTTCCTTTACTGCAAAAGAGAGAAAGTAACAGAAAATAATGTGGTTTTGAATTTTGCCAGTTCTATAGAAACACGGCCCACTCACAGAATGCCTATTTGGTGGAGTTATTTATAAAGTGATTAGGGGAGTGTGTGTGTGTGTGTGTATGTGTGTACACTGGGGGTCTCGCTTTAAAAAAAAAAAATCTCAGTTTTTAGTCTCTTAAAAAGATGCATGATTTTGGGCTGAAGATTTAGCTCAGTAGTTTCGCTGCCTGCTGCACAAGCGCAAGGACCCGAGTTTGATCCCCGGTACCAAACAAACAAAACACCCCCAAAATATGCATAGTTTTTACAAAAATAGAACCACACTCTATGTGTTGTGCGGTCTCCATTTTTACATTTCTCAATGAATCAGAGGCCGCCCCCTTGTGGTTAGTACATATTATCATTTTCAATGCCTCCACCAATTTTACTTGCTTTTTTTTACTTACCTGTATTGAACGAATTTTAGATTGTTTCTAATGTTTTGGAAATATAAGCATCAAGGTGAAGAACATTCTTATATATCCATCTTTATAAAAGACTAAACATTGTGATCATTTAAAATTTATAAATATTGATATAATAAGGCCTTTTGAAAGATTCTATAGGTTATAGAGTTTTTCCAATTTGCTCCAACCTTATTGTTTTAAAATATTGGTTAATTTTATCAGTTAAAATTATATTAAATATGCTATAATATCGCTTTTCTTCCAGTTGTAGTAAAGAGAAATATTTTTGATAAATTTATTGTTCTATTTTCTGTTTATTCATATTTTTAGTCTATTTTTCTCATCATGGTATTTATTTTTAAATGAACTTCTAAAAGAAGTTTATAAATTAAGACTTTTATCTTTTATACTTGAATCACATATATTTTCCCAGTTTATTTGCTTTTTAACTTTGTTCATAGCAATTTTTTAGAACTTAATTTTTTCTACAGTTAATCAGTCATTTCCTTTTTGATTTCTATTCTTAGTGTCATACTTTCTCATCTAAAGGATATTTGAAAATTTTATGTAGCATGTCTTTATAACTCCTTTGATAGATTTCATTTTAAAATTTAAATCATGAACCCAACTTATAATTAACTGTTCTGTGGGCAATTATAGGACTCTAATGCTTTTTCTTCTACATTATTAATTGGTTAGGCAACAGCAATCATGGAATAATGCAGTCTTTCACCAATACTCTGAAAACAAACTAAAATAATATACAGTATACTCCTCTGTCTTTATTTTGCTTTTCTGAGGTCAGTACCAAAAAGATTTTATTTTACCGTTGTAATAGTTTTTTTTTTCTTTTTTGCAGTACTCAGGGTTGAACTCAGGGCCTTCATTAAGCTATGTTTCCAGTCCTTTTAAAAAAATTTTTATTTCGAGACAGTCTTGCTAAATTGCCTAAGCTGGGCTCAAACTTGTGACCTTTCTGTCTCAGTCTCCCAGGGTGCTGTAATTACAGGCATGAGCCACCATGCCTGGCTCGGAATACATTCTTATATTAAGAATAACTATATTGGGCCAGGGATTTAGTTCAGCGGTTTCGCCGCCTGCTGCGCAAGCGCAATGACCCAAGTTCGATCCCCGGTAACAACAACAAAAAAGAATAACTATATTAACAGTTATGGCTATCTTTTTTTTTTTTTTTTTTTTTTGTACCAGGGATCGAACTCGGGTCCTTGCACTTGCGAGGCAGGTGGCGGAACCACTGAGCTAAATCCCTGGCCCCTATTGCTATCTTTTTTGAATGTCCTGAGAAATCTGTTTCTCTTTCTGATGAAATATGAAATTATTATTTCATCAAACAAAAAAGATAATCAAAAACTGTGCAAGAAATAATAAAAATACCTTGCTGAGACTTTGATTCTTAGTAGTTTACAGTTTTGCAACCATCACATCAATTCATTTTGTTTTATTGTGGTAAAAATAGAAAATTTATCTTTTTTGGTGGGAGTGCTGGGGATCAACTCAAGGCCTTGCATATTCTAGAAAAGTACTCTACCACTGAGCTACACGTTGGTCCTAAATTTACCATTTTAAAGTGCATAATTCAAGTTGGGCATGGTGGCACATGCCTGTAATCCCAGCACTCTGGGAAGCTGAGACCAAAGGATTTTAAGTTTGAGCCTAGCCTGGGCAACTTAGTAACTTAGCGAGACCCTGTCTCGAAATGAAATATTAGAAAGGGCTGGGGATGTAGCTCAGAGTGAAGGATCTTGGTTCAATCCTTAGTATAGCAAATTAATAATAAATGCACAATTCAGTGGTAATGAATGCATTCACAATGTTATGTGACCATCACCACTATCTCTTTCTAGAATTCCTCCTCGTTCCAAACAGAAACTATACCTATTTGCACTTACTTCCCAGTCCTCATTCCCTTAGTTCCTGGTAACCTTTCCGTCTCTATGAATTTGCCTATTCTGACACCTTATATTGGTAGAATCATACACTATTTTTCCTTTTGTTCCTGGCTTATTATATTGAGCATATTTTCAAGGTTCACCAATGTTGTAGCACATATCCGAACCTCATTCCATTGCACCTATATATGTATATGTTATGTTTGTTTTATTCATTCATTGCTTGATGGACACTTGGATTGTTTATACCTTTGGCTATTGTAAATTATGCTTCTGTGAACATGGGTGTAAACATTGTTGCTATGGACCTGTTTGAGACTATATATTGTTCTAATTAAAAGCTATTTGCTACCACCGCACACCTATTAGAATGGACCAAGTTTGAACACCGACAGCAAGAAATGCTATTGAGAATGTGAAGCAGCAGAAACTCTTACTGATTGATGGTGGGAATGGAAACTGGTACGGCCACTTTGGAAGACAGTTTGGCAGTTTCTCACAAACTGTACTCTTACCACACCATCCAGCTATTATGTTATTCACTCAGATGAGTTGGAAACTTATGTTCACACAAAAACCTGCACATGGATTGTACAGTAACTCTATTCATAACTGCCCAAATTCAGTAGGTGGATGGATAAACTGTAGTCTATCCAGATAGTGGGATATTATGCCCTGCTAAAATGGAATAAGCTATCAGGGCATGAAAAGACATGGAGGGAATTTAAATGTATATTAATAAGTGAAACAAGTCAATCTGAAAATCCTGTACACATGATTCCAAAAGTATGACATTCTGGAAAACACAAAATTATGGAGACAGTAAAAAGATCAGTGATTTCTGGAGTTGGGAAGAGGGAAAGATGAATAAGTTACACACAGAGGACTGTTAAGGCAATGAAACTATTCTGTATGATATTGTAATGGTAAATATGTCATTATACATATAAAATATGCAACATCAACAGTGAACTCTTGAGTAAGCTATGGACTTTTATAACAAATGTACTCTCCGGTGTGGGATGTTGAGAGTGGGGGAGGCTATGTGGTGTGTAGGGGGTACAAGAATTAGGGAATTTGCTGTACTTTCTGTTCAAATTCCGCTACAAACCTAAAACAGAACAAAGACTTCATGCAAGATGAGTAAGTCTGGAGAGCTATTAAAACAATGTGACTATAATTAACAATATTGTATCATACACCTAAAATTTGCTAAGAGATCGTAAATATTCCCAACACACACAGAGATGGTAAATGTGAGGTGATGTTAATTTGCTCGATTGTGGTGTACATTTCACAATTATATATCAATTATCAAGTTGTACACCTTATGACTTTTTTGTCTGTTTTTGAGACAAGAGTGTATGTAGTTCAGTTTGGCCATGCACTCACTATGTAGCCCAGGCTGGCCTCAAATTCTCCGTGATCCTATTGCCTCAGTCTCCTGAGAGCTGGGATTACAGGTGTGCGCCACCACGCCGGCCAGATATCAACTTTTATATTTGGTTAATCATAATATATGCCTTATAATGTAAATCAAGTTGAACACTTTAAAATATATACAGATTTTATAATAGTCGACTATACCTCAGTAAAGGTGGGGGTGGAGAGAAAAACTAGTTGCAGCAAATACTCTTGTCAATTTTATTTCATTTTTTTAAATTAGGAAGATATAGTAAGATTATAGGTGATACTTGCTTTCCTGCACATTTCCTCGTTTAAATAGTTATAATAAGCACGTATAATTTTTACAAGCTAGGCTTTTGTGTTTTGAGATTAGGAAGTGAACCGAAAATCCACAAGCCACCCTGGGAAAACTGAACAGTCCAGGCCAAGAAATTAGCTTGGAATAAGGCATAGACTTTTCCAAGAGTCCCTAACTGCGCAGCTCGGAGGCTTCTGGGAAATGTAGTCCCGAAGGCCGACGTAGCGCCCCTCAGAGGACCCTGGGAACGCTGAGCAGCCCTCATATCTGCGCATGTGCAATGCTGCGAGCGCGCCAGCGGCCGCCCTTCCCCCACCGCAGCAGAGTGGGTGCCAGGGACCTCTTCTCCGCTCGTCCTCGGCGCGGAGAGCGCCGTGACCTGGCCTGGCACGGTGCCACTAGTGGAGGCTGTTCCCCTGAGGTATGAGAGAGGATTGCCAGTCAGCTCTCCCCGGCCTGGCGCGCGCTGGCAAGAGATGAAGGATGGGTTCGTGCTCGGGCGGGCTGAAAGCCCAAACTTCGGAGACTCGCTGGCTGTGGTGACCCTCGGGGCGGTGTCCAACGCTGCCCGGCACCCTTCTCGGAGCGGGGTCCGCCAGGCCCTTTCGGCCAGACGTGCGGAGGCGGGGTCGGAGCGGGGGAGGGCGGCTATGAGGGCTCGGCTTCCTCTCTTTGTCAGGAGGCGCTTGCGACAAGCTGCAGGCTCTCGGGCCGCGCGGGAACGGGTCCGGAAGCCCCACGGACGCGCGCCTGACCGGCCCGGCCGGGGAGGGATGGGGCGGGGGCGGGGGCGGGGCCGGGCACACCCGGCCACGCCCCCGGATGTGTCCTGCTCTGCCGTTTTGGTGGACAGTTCCTGGTGTCCTGAGAGCTTTGTTCAGTATCCACCTAATCCTCACATCTACCCCGTGACTTCCGGTATGATTATCTCAGTAGCAATAGAATTCAGAAAGGGTAAATGATTTACCTAAGGTTACACAGCCAGCTAGTACTTTAGAGCAAATATTTTTAATTGTGTTATATGAAAGCAAATATTTTGTGTTTTGAATTGCTCCCTGTTAGTTCTTGCCCTTCGTATTTTTTATTTTTATTTTTTATAACTTCTATCGTTGAATTCATTGCTCTTTCCTTTTATGGCACTACAAACTTTCACCACTTTGAGATTATACATGTTCACTCATAGTTGGGCACAGTGGCACTTGCCTATAATCCCAGCTACTTGGGAGGCTGAGGCAGGAGTGTCACAAATTGGAGGCCAGCCTGGCAATTTAGCGAGATGTTATCTCAAATCATAATGGCTAGGGGATGTGGCACAGTAGTAGAAAGCTCATGTCTCTTGTGTGACTCCCTGGGTTCAATCCCCAGGAAGGAGGGAAGAAAGGTTTTATTTTTTCCATGATTCTGGTACTTTGGAATTAATTTTTTTAAACTGTTGATACATGTATTGTAATCCTGTTAATGGTTACATTAAATTAGGGATAGTGGACACCTTTGTGACCTTGTGTCTTTCCAGTAAGAATAAGGAAGGTGTGAGTTCCCAGTCATGTTTTCAGTCTTTAACTTGAAGCAGGTTTCCACAGGATGCTCATTTTGGGATGGCCCTATTTTTCCCACATGCTTCCTTCAAAGCTTGTAGCATAGAATGCCTGGCAGTGAGCAACTCAGACAATATAAGCTTTCCCTCTTCTCTTCCTTCAGCCAGCCAGACCCAGTGTGCTCTCTCCCTGATGCCAGAACCCCAGTGAAACTTCATTGAGATGGATTTGCCTCATTGTGATTTCTATCTGGAATTGAGGAAAGAAACCCTCAGATTGATGAGCAACAGTTTACCTTTTGTCCCACTTCTCTTTGCTTTATTACTCACGGCATTTTATAGTTTTTGTAAAAGATTTTTGTTTTCCTTTTTATGTATTTTGGTGGTACTGGGGAATAAACCCAGGGCCTTTACACTGAGCTACATCCCCAGGCCTTTTTACTTATTTTTTTTAAATTTTGAGTTAGAGTCTCATTAAGTTGCTGAATTGCCCAGGTTGGGTGTGATAGTGTGATCTTCCTGCCTCAACTTCTATTTTTCTTTTCTTTTTAAAATTTTTTCTTTTTTTCAGGTTCTGGGGATCAAACTCAGGACCTTGCACTTGCGAGGCAGGCACGGCGCCACTGAGCTAAATCCCTGACCCTAAATTTTAATTTTTATTAGTATATGTTTGCAGTACATGATGATAGCATTCATTGTGGGGAGTTGGTACCTATATAAAACACACATTCCTCCCTTCTCTCCATTTCTTGATCCTCTTTTCATGTGCAAAAGATCTGACTCCCTATTTTCTATTATTTATTTTTCATTTTGCTCTTTATTTATACTTTGCATTTGTCATATAAGAAACCTTTTGATTAAGCTTATATACCTGATTTACTTCATTCAACATTATGACCTCATTGAGTAATTTTTCCACATATGACTCAAATTTATCCTTTTATAGTAGTAATATTCCATTGTGTATAAATACCACATTTTCTCAATCCATTCATCTGTTGATGGACATATAGGCCACTTCCAAGATTCAACTATTATGAATTGTGGTGCTGTAAATATGGGTATGCATGTTTCATTGTAATATGACATCTTTAACTCTTTCTGGAAGATACCTAGAAGGTGAATACGTGGATCTAATAGAATTTCATTTTTTGGCTTTTTGAAGAATCTTCATGCTGATTTCTATAGTGGTTATACTAGTTTACATTCCCACTAACAGTGAAAAGGGTTCCTTTTTCTCTACAGCCTTGTCATCATTTGTTCTTATTTGATTTCTTTTTTTTTTGGTACCGAGGATCAAACTCGGGTCCTTGCGCTTGCACAGCACACGGTGAAACCACTGAGCTAAATCCCCGGCTGATTTCTTGATGATAGTCATCTTTCTAGAGTAAGAAGGAACATCAGTGTTGTTTTGTTTTGCATTTCTCTAATGGCCAGAGTTGTTGAACATTTGTTCATGTATTTATTGACCATTTTTACTACTTCTCAGAAGTGTTTATTTATTTCACTTGCCCTTTTTTTTTTTGTACCAGGGATCAAACTCGGGACCTTGCACTTGCGAGGCAGGCGGCTGAACCACTGAGCTAAATCCTGGGCAACTTGCCCTTTTTTTTTTGGTACTGGGGATCGAACTCAGGTCCTCGCACTTGTAAGGCAGGCAGTGAAACTTGCCCACTTTTTGATTGGCTCTTTTTTTTTTCCCATTAAGTTTATTGGTACATTTTAGGTATAAAATACAGTTATATTCATCATTGGGATCTTGTACCATTACATGAGTATCTTGGTTCTTATATATTTTTTCCTTTCCCTTGCCCTCCCTTCACCCCC